GTCTGTTTATATAACTCAGTAATTGAGATCATTTTGTAATCAACCAAACCTAGGTTCATATTCTTAGTTTAATTCTCAAGTTCTGCTTATCACTCTGATTTGGAGTAATTTTCACTCTGAAGTAGTTGCAAATAAGCTCTACACAGTGATTTAGTCTGTGCATGTAGATTCTGAGATGTGAGATAGTCTGTGAAGGCATGTGAGCTAAGAAGCAAAAGAACTCTGACAATCAGCCCCTGTTGATTCTTTACCAGACACTGAGAGGAGAAAACTTTCTGATAAAGAAGTAACTTCCCAGCTCAAGTGATACTTCTTTCTGCCTCAGGTGTACAGGCATTGCCCAATGTGGGTGGGGAGTTGGGCAGCCTAAGTCAATAGAGAGAATTGGTGTTTGTGGGTGAAGGCCCCAGATTCCTGCCTCCTGGTGTTGCTCAGGAATGTTTTCCCAGTATTCCTTAGAGCATTGTCACAGAGACGGTTCAGTTCATTGCTCTTTGTTAATTGCATTATGTGCTCTTTTGTGTTTAATGGATTGTAATGATAGCATATCTAATGCAATACCTGTCACTGGTTTTTGTCTTTGATTTTTTTTTTTTGTGTGTGTGTGTGTGTGTGTGTGGTTTTGTCCATGTGCGCACATGTAGTGTGGGTGTACTCGTCCATGTGGGCATGTGTGAAGGCCAGATGTTGACATCAGGTTATCACCCTCAATTGCTTCTCCTCTTTATCTTCTGAGACAAGGTCCTGCATTGAACCTGAACCTCACTATTTCTGGCTACAGTTGCTGGCTAGTGGGATCCCCAAGACCCACTTATTTTTAGCCCCTAGCTCTAGGGTCACAGCATCAGGCCAACCATGCCTGATGGGGGTTCTGGGGAAACAAACTTGGGTCCTTATGCTTGTGCAACAATCCATGCTTAGGCCGTGATCCATCTCCATAGCCCCTGTGTTGCACTTTTGTTTTTACCTTAGGGTTCCTATATCATTTAGCCAGTGACTTCAAGGATTACCCTCCAGATACAAGTAAACTTTCTGTGTAGGGGAGATGGCTCAGTGAGTAAAGTGCTTGACATGACAAGATGAAGATCTGAGTTCAAATCCCCGGAACCCAAATCAAAGCCATTGTGTAACTGAAATCCCTGTGCCCCTACTGCAAGATGGAAGACCAAGGCAAGAGAATCCCTGGAAGCTCTTGGGCAGCTAGCCTGGCATATGTAGTGGTGAACAACAAAAGAAGAGAGATCCTCCCTCAAACAAGGTAGAGGGTGATGACCCTCTATACATACCTCTGACCTTCACACATAAACACAATGTGACACACACTTACGTACACATGCATCATACACACATCCCTCACACACATAAACACATCACATACATATATACACACTCTCTCAAACACAAATTTTTTTTAAAAGAATCTTCATAAATCCTTAGATTTGAGTTGTTTGGGGGAGATAACGCAAACTAAGTCAACAATTGAAAATATAAAACCATGGCTAATAGATTTTGAATAGTTGTTTGTACCATGTAGCACAAGAGCCAAAAGTTAAAAGTGGCCATTTTGAGGAATCGTAAGATCTTGTCAGTGGCTGAGATGAGAAGGGAGTAAAGTTGTAAACAGCAGGTTCAAGTTAAAAAACTAATTTTCACTATGTTGGTATTACCAGACTGAAGACACCACAGTGAAATTTTGTGAAGGGAGTATCTAGATACGATCATTCAAGGGTACTGGAACCAAGACATCTGTAAAGAAGTTAGTGACCTACTCTCTAGACTGGAAGATTTCAGCAGTGACTGCAGAGAAATACATAGATTTAACAGCCATTCAGGAGATAGATCCTGGCTAAGGTGGCCTTCCTGTTGTATCAGGGTGGAGACAGTGGTGGTAAGTAGGTAAACTGGTTGTTTCAGCAGGAAGCATTTCAATCTCGGGTGTTATTCTTGAGACTGATGAATAAAAACTCTTCCTCTGATACTTATTTGAGTCTCAAGAATTGTTTAGCATATGTTTTACATATCTATGTATATATGTATGCATATATATGTTAATCTAATTTAAAACAGATGTAAATACTTGAAGTGGCTGAGAAAATACAGATCCCATCCTTCAAGTTCATTCTTGGTAACAATTGCTAGAGTTTGTTAGTGACATATATAGTGAGTGCTTGAAAGTGCAACTTCACCAATGGGCAAGGAAAGCCATCAGGGTGATGGGACATGGTCTATTACAGCAAGAACCACCATGGATTTATTTCTGATAAGCAACTTTGCTACTGTTATTTTTTCTTCTTAGTGTTATTGATAACCATTCATTCCTGTTAGTGATGAAATGAAAGTGATGAAAACCTTTTATGAAGATTGGCTTTCATGAATAAGGGAGGAAAAAATAATTGAAAATCACTCTAAATTCTGAATGATTAGCTTCATGCCAAATAATTCATTAGAAATCTTTGATTGGTATGAAAAGGCAATCATTTGCAAAATTGGAAAGAGCTAAATTCCGTTAGACATATTTCCCTACTTTTTAGTTTGTGTATTGAGATGAACATCACGTAGAAATAGTGAGATTTAACATAGTAGCTTTTTACTGTAGGAAGTCTATATGTGCTATTGTGCTTTAACCCGGCTAACTATCTTTCCTTTGATTTTTTTAATATTTCAGGTGATTGTCTTTGCTATGACCCTGTTTCTTGTTTCTTGTCTAATAATACAATAGCTACTACTTATCATTGAAACATGAAAAAGGGTATTTTATTCTGTTGTGTTTTCCTAGTTTTTGCATGTCTTATTTTTACTGAATTTTTGTGCATTTCATACGATGCATCTTACCCATATTAAATTCCCTCCCTATCTGCACCCGTCTATAATCCCCGCTGCATTTTTATGCATTTTTTCATAAAAGTTAAAGCCTGTCAATCAAGTTTGTGTTTGCAAATATTCCTCAGTGTGAGTCCATCCACTGGAGCCTGGTCAACCTTTCTAGCACCACTCCCTTAAAGAAGACCAATTCTCCCTCTTGCAGAAGTGATCAGTTGCCAGTAGCTACTCTGCTAAGGTTGGGGCCTCCAGCCCATTTCTCCAGCTCTGTGCTGGGTGTTTGTTTGGTTTGCATTTGCATGGTCTTGTGCATGCTGTCACCATTGCTGTATAGTCATATGAGCATGTTTCCAGCCTGGAAAGCTCTTTTTCCTTATGGCCATCCACCACTCCTGGCTCTTAAAGTCTTTCTGCCCCCTCTTCCACAATGGTTCCCGAGTCCTGGGTGGCAGAAATTGAATATAGGAGTCCGATTCAAGGATATGCACTCTATAGTCTCTTATTCTCTACATTTTGGGTAGTTGTGGCTTTCTGTGTTAATAATCATCTATTGCCTGAGGAAGTTTCACTGGCAAGGATTGAGAGATGCATTAATATTCTCTCTGCCCACTGTTCTGCTATGTTTCCTGAGCCTTAGGTGTAGAAGTTCAATTGTCACTTAGGACTGGGCATCTCAAGACACTGATTCTCTGCATTTGACCATTGTAGAACTCTGTAATAGTGTCCACCTGTTACAAAAAGAAGTTTCTTGATGCCTGGTGAAAGGTATACCTGTCTGTAAATATAAGGATACATATTCAGCATAGAGTGAGAAATTATATTTGTCTAGGAATGTGACACTTGTAGGCTTTTCTCTAGGATGCATGACCTCTCCAGCCACATGTATTTGGTTATGTTTACAGTACACACGAGTTCCTTCTCACTGAGTGTGCCTTAAGTCCAATTAGATAGCTATTACACCAATAGAGATAGTCTGCTGTGCCCACCACTGTTGTGATTATTAGGATTTACAGCTGGGTTGGACGTTGATTGGTATTCTCCCTTTGCAGCTTGGATAGTATCTTCTGATAGTATGGTAGCTAGTCTTCAGAGAGGAGGCCTCCAGGTCATTTCTAGCTCAATTGCCCTAAGTCCTGTGTCTGAAGTGTGGTCTGTATTCAGCAATAGGGTCTTACCTTCAAATTCTGGGAGATAGTCAAGGGCTGTGGCAATAACCTGTGTTATTTTGGGAGTTTCTTGGACTATCCTGACCAACAAGTAGAAGAAAGGTGTCTCTTGTTTGGCAATGTGTTTCTTGCTATATAGCCTACAGAAATACACATACACACATGTATTTTCACAGCCTTTTGAACTAATTTTGTATCACATATACATATGTATATATATACATATATATAATGTGTATTTTCATAGGCTTTTGAACCAATCGTGTACCTTATGTTTAAATGAATGCACATATACGACCAGTTATATATTAAGAATCAATATTCCATGTACAAAAGTAGGGCAAGATTTTGAACTTTCTACCTAAATCTCTCCAATTTTCCTTTAAACAAAATAAAAGTCGCTCTCCAGTAACTGCTATCACGCATCCTACAACCCTGTGCTTTAAAGAAATGAGCCCAGCTTGTTAAATCTGGAGAGCACACTGCAGCAAAGACTCACAGCAGCGTCTTCAGCTCTGTGTCTGTAGTTCACAACTTCGCCTTCCATCCTTCTGCTTTTCGTTATATGATGAACAGAAAACAAAGTGAATGCGTGACAGTGTCAAGTAAAATTTTTAATTTTAGTTCACTGAACCTTGTCATATACCATGTTCTTCTACTTCAAACGAGTTGGTCATGTGACAAAGCACACCCAAATAAATTACTCATCAAGATGCCAGACCTGTTGGGTATACAGCTAATGAGCCATGATGGTGGTAGAGAAAAATGTCTTGATTTGGAATTTAAATTTCCATATAGTCTTTGCAAATTAGGCTGAAATAGCCCCATATACTTGAGATATTTACTTGCCAGGAAGATATTCTTTAGTACCATCCAGCATTTAGCTTTCAAAGTCAACGATGACATCCACAACGTAAGGAGAAGCTTCATTTAATTTTAATTGAAAGGCTCTTCACTTTGCATTTTCTGTTCTGCACAATATTGATTTTTCTTTTCTGATGTTGTTCCTTACAGAGAGTGAATCTGTCATTCGATTTTCCATTTTATGGTCATTTCCTCCGTGAAATCACTGTGGCAACTGGGGGTAAGTTGTTTTCTACCCGTTCATCTAAAGAATTGTGGTTCCGCTATAGTTATTACTTTAAATTCTTCCATATTTCAAGAAGGATAACATTTATTGGTAAAAACCATTGTCTTCCGGCACAAGTCAGCAAGAAAAATTAAAACCTCATAAAGAATGGAACTATTGGGAAAAGTTTTCAGAAGGAAGAGTGTATTTCTCATAATTTTCAGGTTAGGTTTTCCTCTACATCTTTCTAAGATCTATTTCACTTTCTGGTAATATTGGGAAGACTATACAATAAACAAGTTAGAGTATTAGTAGAGTTAGAGTGAAATGGTGCACAGTTAGCTGTTGGTATACTTTGTAGTTTCTTTTACAGTATATGGTTGATATCTAGGGATATACACACATACAATAACATACGCATTAGCTTAGACGATTTTTTTTTCTTTTCTTTTAATGTCTCCCACGTTATCTGAGAAATTTGAATATCTTAAACACTGGTATCCCACTTGACTTAAATTTTTTTACTTTTCTCTATAAAAGTGCAAGTTTGGTTTAGAGAGTGGCAAAATCCTGGTGGGGCAAGGAGCATTTTTCACAGTGTATCTCACAAGTTTGAAATATGTTAATCCTGATGTGCTGCTGAAAGAGTTAATCTGATGCTACCTACTATCCTTGTCTGCCTACAAGGAAAAGGCAGAAAAATTAATGAGCAGGAAACAAAGAGTAAACAGAACAGTAAAGACAAATATGAGTGAGGTTACAAATACCGTAACCTCATAGACTGGACCAAGCTCATGAAGATGAATCTAGACATTGTGTAACTCTGTACAGGACAAAAGTACCTCAGTTAGTACATGTTCTCAGAAGAACATTGTGGCAGTTGGTGAAAGAGGCTTTGGTGATTCTCATGCCTCAAAGCAAGGGGAGGAATTGGTGCTGCAATTACAGCATCAAACAGAAGAGTATTGTTAGAGAATACCAAAGCCAGCTATGGATCAACTAACTTTTTGTGTGTGAAAAAGTACTATAGTAAAATAAAATTTCCACTCTGCCACTTGAATTTACTCTGTATATACTGGTAGAGAGCCAGGCTTTTAATTAATGTTATTGAAAATTTGAATGAAAAGTGGAAAGGTAGAAGCAGACAGACCCATTAAGCTCTGAGTCGTATCATGTCATCTCTCATTAAAGGATGATAGGACCTTGGTGACTTTATAATACAGGCATTAAGCGTGATTTCTGACATGGAGATTACCAGGGTTCCACTGCATGTTACAAAGTGAATTCTTAATCACATTTAAAATCTGCACATGCCATTATAAAATATGGACTCTTTCACAATTTATATTTCTCCAGGTATTTTAACTTAGAAACTCATACTAGTGATTAGGCTCATATGAATTGAGATTTCTCTTAGTGGGGTGCATGGCAACCAACCTTAGAAAACAGCTGTGTCATCTATACTGTTTCAAAGTACCATTTTCCTCCGAAAGTTCTCAGTATACAAGACCTGGTGATTCTGTGATGCCTCTCTTTTTCATAATAGCGTTAATTCAAAGACACTCTTTTAGGGCCTGGAGGGCCTTCTTGCAGAAGACCCAGGTTTGATTCCCAGCACCCGCATGGCAGCTGACAACCTCCTCTAGCTCCAGTTCCTGGGAATCTGAGGCCCTTTTCTGGCCCCTGCAGGCATTGCATGTACATGGTGTGCTAAAATACAGGCAGACAAAGCATTCATACACATAAAAATATGAACAAGACATTTTTTCTACTTAAATTATAATAATCCAGAACTTGAATATATAAATCTCTGCACCTTGCTTAAGAGGCATCAACAAGATGATTTAGACACTGACCTGACTTTCTCCATATTGGAAGCAGACTGTCATGGCAATTTTCTAGCTAGGTCACTTGCTTGCTCTTTCATTGCACATGAACTCAGCACATGTTGACCCGGCCCTTATAAAAGGAACGGCACAGCAAGTTTCCATGTGCACTGTGAGAAGTATCAGCTCTGGTTCCTGACCAAGCTTACTATCTAATCTAAGGCAAAAAGGTATGCTATGAATAAACAGTCATAGGTGACTAACCAGAGAGCTAAAGGAGTAGGAGCTGGTTGGAAGAGACAGTCTTTATTGAGCCAAGAAAGATTACAGGATTATGGAAGAGGCGACATTTGGAACTGCCTAAGGGAAGGTTGGATTTTAGTAGGAAAAGAAGTTTCAAAGGTAGAGGGGGAATGTTTACTTGGGGCAAGGGGATGCTGACGTAAGTGACAATCCTACGCCAGTATAAAATGTATTTGGAAGGCTATCACGTAAGTCAGTCTATCTTAAATGGAATGTTGGAATTAGGAGTTCAACCATGATGGAAATAGCAAAGTGGGGTACTTTGAATATTAGTAACTTAAGTGAGACCCTGAAAGTGTTGGGCTTCTTTGAGTAGTTCTGACTTGTTCTGACAGTGGAAAGTAGAGGAGGAGGGTGGGGTGAAGGTAGGGAACCAGATAGCAAAGCTTTCTCTCTTTTAAGAATTTTAAATTACATTGTGTTTATTCATTTGGGTGTGTGCTGGGAGCAAGCACACTTACCACAGCATGCATGCAGAGGCCAGAGGATTTCTTGCCAGAGTGGGTTTTCTCTCTTCCCACGTGAGTCCCAGAGATCGAACTCAGGTCATCAGACTTGGCAACAAATGTGTTTGCCCACTGAGCCATCTCACCAGCCCACGATAGCAGTTTTCAATCCTTTTTGATAGGTCTAGTTCCTGAGCTAGGACAGGTAGAGTGGAAAGGGAAGAGGCCGGTGCATTGACCTGCCGTTTGAATTGTTTAATCATTGTGGCTGGGAGAACTTCCAGTCAAAAGTTTCGTGCGGAAACCGTGAAAAAAGCTAAGAAGTGCTAAGACGTCTAAACCACAGTTTTAGGCCATCTGCATGTTACAAATCAAAAGATTTGACAAATATTCAGTGGTCTGAATAGTCTTAAATAGGCTACTCACTATCGTAAACTTGAGAAAAGAAAGGAATTGTTAGCCAATTTAAAATTTTAATTTATGGCCATTCCTAATAGGTGACAGTCTGAGACTTTGAAGTAGGAACATTGGTGTCTATTCCATTGACTCTTAGTTCTCTTTGACTGTGAATTCTGTTTGAACCTGTTTCTATATCCAATGTGGGAGAAACCAAGTGGTATATTTTCATGGTGAATGTAAGCTGCACACATAAATAAAATGCGTGCCTACCTGCACTTAACTTCTTCATACCTCATGGATTTGCCTTTTTCCCACGTCTTCTTCAAGCCTCCTTCTCTCTCCTCCTCTCTGTCTCTCACTCACACACACTTCCACACACCTTCCACACACCCACATACACACAGTTTTATTTAAGGCTGAGATCTGAGATTAACTTCATGATAGTTCTCTGTTTTATTATTAAACAGCACAATTAAAATTTTTAAAGAAGACAATTCATGGTGGTAAAACTTTACGTATATATATATCATTATGAATAAACTTAGTTTCTAGTTAAAAATGTAAGATAAAACTAAATATCAGGCATTATTACTGCAAAAATGAAATTTTTACTTATTAAGCATTTTTATATCCAAAACCTTCCATCATCCATACAAAATGAATTTGAAATACAATCTTATTTTCTGGTTCACTGATAGCAGAATCTGAAAGCATTTATTCATCTTCCTATTTTAAAACCATTTCAGAATGAAAAGATTTCAGACATCACAAAACTAGTCCCATGCTAAGTTCAGAGTGTTTCCATTACTGCTGCCACTAAGTTGTGTTCCCGCCCCTCCTAGCTCATTTTCCCCCGTATGAATGCCTTCATTAGTTATTAGGCTGATAGTGTGATATTTGAAATGCTGCAGTTAAGTTTCAAAAGTTTGTGTTAATTTCTGTGGCCATCACCAGTAATGCTGTTTTCACCAGTCCCTTACTGGAATATCACGTGACTGTGAAGAGCTAGCGAGAGATGAGTGATAGGGTACAGAAGTGTCACTAGGATACAAAACCCAACTACTTGGGCAGATGGCAATGCAGCATCAAAATAACGTATGGAATTGTAAGCAGTTGCACATGACATTAATAGTCAAAGATGAATTAAACGTGTAAAGCTAACATGTAGTATCTGCTACCTACCTTGATTGTTGGAAGGATTTCCCTGTCTGATTTCTATTCAAATTTCTCATTTCTAATTTGAAAACTGTTTAAAAATTTACATCTATTTTCCTTTGATTGCCATCTGGTAACTATTAAACATAAAATATTTCTGTAATGTGAGGCTGGAGAGATGGCTCAGTGGTTAAGAGCACTGACTGCTCTTGCAGAAGACCCAGGTTCCATTCCCAGCACCCACATTGCAACCAACAAGCATCTGTAACTCCAGTTCCAGGGAATTCAGTGCCCTCTTCTGGCATCCATGGGCATTGCATGATATGGGTGCACCTACCTATGTGTAGGCATCACATTCATACACATAAAATAAAAATAATAAATAAAATATCCAAAAAAAGATTTTCTGTAATATAATGAATATTAATATCGGAAAAATAATATGTGGATATTTAAAACTCTTAGAAGCAAATGTGGAACATCAATCCCTCTTCTTCCTTTGTTTGTAATATTATAAGCACTCCTCCCAATAAAAGAAAAACTGTTACTCTTTGAATTATGGTACATTAAATTCAAATAAGAAATATTCTTTCTATCTGACCAATAATCAGTTTTTTAACAAACACGATCATGTATACTGTCTTGATTGGATTTTCAGGAAGTGTATTACTAGAACATTCTATCTTGTTTGGATTTTCAGGAAGTATATTACTAGAATATTCTTCTGATTTCTTTCTTCTGGCTTTTAATAGTAATATTCTAATTATAGTTCCAAATATTTCATAGTTTTTCAAGAGACTTGATTAGTAACAGAAATAAAAGTCTTTCAGGGTAGGAAAAGTGTTATTTATTATACTCAATGATTGGTTTACAAATAATAACCCAT